TTTTATTGGTAGCCCGTTTAAATCCGGGCTTTTTAGGCCCGGACCGTTTAGCCCGAAGCCCGCTAGGGCTAGCCCGTAACCGCTAGGGCTAGCCCGTTTAACATCTCTACATAACACTACTTAAAGGCGCATTTATTATTTCCCATGAACCACAAACACGTAAACGTTGTATTTCAACTGATCTGATACTTGACAAAGATTTTCGTTTATGCGTGATTAGGAAATAAAAACAATACTGTTGGATCATTAATTTTCTACATCTTTTAATCATTGCGTTTATGTTAGTGAGAATGTTAACATGTTAATTAATACTACCTCATATTTTTAATATATGTCATTTTGAAAAGTTGCACACTAACTAAGAATATTTTTTTTGTCAATAATAACTTTATTTAATGAAGATAGAGATTTATGTTTTGAGAAAAAATGAAGAGTGAATATGAAAAGACGTAATGTATTTATTGGCTAAATGAGTGTAATAATGGAAAATATATACAAAAGATCCAAAACGACATTTATTTGGCAAATAATTAAAAAGCTAGAATGACATTTAAAAAAATAGGAGGGAGTATATTATACCAACAACACGATATATTAATATAAATTTGATTTTTGAATATATATTTATTCATCGATATAATAAAAAAACATAACAGTTTTACTTATTCTTATTTACCATATAACACTCAATTATTATTTTATAATAAACTATTGTCTTATAATGTCATTATTATAATTTATAAAAGTTATAGAAGTAGTCTTCTTTTTCTTAATTTAAATAAAGGAAAATAAATAATTTACATAAATATTACTTATTATTGTAATTAATTTAATATAAAATATTTTGTATGAATGTTTACATAATGCACACATGTTTTTTTATTTAATTTTCTCATAATAATTAAAAAATTTTGATTTAGCAATTGCCCAAAAATAAATGCCTTATATAATCAAGAGATTTTTTAAATTTGTATCCTAAGGCTGTATAGTTTATTTATCATGATACGCAATGAAAATCTCCCCTATATATTAATTCAGAACGTGCTGAGCCTAAGTGGCAGGCTCGCATGCTTCGAAATCTTATGTGTCAAAATTACATGCTTTGTTATTAGGCTTGGATAAATTATAATTTACTTTTAATCCAAAAATAATTAAGTTCGGATTGCCATAAATATGTTGATTTACTTATGATCATTTTAGATGCATTAATTATATTTTAATATTATTTCTTATTATAACTATATTAAATTGTAAATTTATTTTAAAATTTGATAACTTTTGTATTTCTTATCGGTTTTACATATATAATATATCAAATTAATCATTTTTTGATGAGCTTCGATTTGACATCCATATTGTATATAATATATATATATATATATATAATATTTGTCTTTATAATAAAAATAAAAATATTCATTAAAATTAATTAGAAAAATAAAATTATTTCTCAATTAATATATTTATGTTTAATATAGTTATATAGCTGGATGGTCGACAGAGATCGGTTCCGTGCCTTTCTTTCATGGGAAGAGGTTAGTAGAAGAGATCATCTTTCTGGGGGGAGCAGGGTACAGGTACCCTTTTGTTTAAAGGTCGTTCGAGCTTTTCCTGGGAGTATGTTAGAAAAATTATTATAATATAATACATGTATGTCGCACACGTAACAAGTGTCATACTAAAATATATATATAATAATATATATTTCTTTATAAAAAGTATTTAATTTTCAACAATTCTCATTAATTTTAAATTGTAAAAAAAAATTGACAAGCACCCGTGTAATACACGAGCGTTGTACTAGTATAAAAATAAATATATAAATAAATAGGTTGTCTGCGTATCTTATTTTATAAAGAATAAAATCAGTGGAATCTATACTTATATTAAAAGCCGTACTATTTACCAAAAATAGTAGCAAGAAAAGTCAACTCACATTTAATGCATACTTAATTTGGAAATTTTTTACTATATGCATTAATTGTTTGCATATACACATTTTCTATTCAAATATGATCAAAAAGATTCTTTCCTTAAATAATTTTATTAACTTCTGCAATAATTTTACTTATATATATTATAATTCATATTTGACGATAGTATTTTTTAATTTTTATTTGAGTATATAAAAACAAAAATATTATTTAAAATTAATATTTTATTTATCATTTAAGAGATAATGATTACATCATTAAATGATATTACTGATGGCTAGATAATAAATTTAAATACATTTATTATTCTTTAAAATTTTGGCATGTTATTTATTTGTATATCTATACTTATTATATAAGGTATCCTATTTACCTAATTTAGTAGATTGAAAAGTCAACGTAATTAATGCATTGCTATTTCTCTCCAGAATTTTATTTAATTATTTTATTTATTTATCTTATATCTCATAAAATCAGTTTAAGAAAAAAAAAAATCCCATAACATCTGACAAGTATAAAAAAAAACGTAAAATCTTTACTAAATTAAAAAGACTTTATTTATTTGTCTTATTCCATATTAACATCGATTTTGTCAAAACAAATTCCATAAAAATTCTTTATCTAATTCCTTCTTTTTCTTATCTATTTTCTTCTTTTCCTTATCCAATTCCTTTTTATTATCTAATTGTATGAAAATTTGTTCTGATTTTGTTCAATCCTCTAATTGTATTTGTAGTAGATTCTATAAAATCAGTTTAAC